ATTTTAGAAATGAATGTGCTCCTGAGATATTGTGAAGCTGTGAACGGAGAGCTGTTGGCAGAACAAGGTCTTAAGAGACAGTAATCTTGAAAGGTGACCTCCTAAATATAGAAGTGGTGGCAAACTTATAAATGGAGTCATTGACAAGGTTGAACTAGAAAAATATGTCAAAGCTTGAAGCCATACAGTATTAAATCTTGCTGCTCTCTTTTTTAAAACAGCCAAATACAATTTTTGGAGGTCATAGTAAACCATTTTTAAGTATTCTAAGTAGGGCATGGTGACTGTAAAACTGAACCCTTAACTTGAAAGTGAACATTTGCTTGCTGGAAATGAAGAAACTTTTAGTTTAAGGGATTAAACAGCTAAAAAATAAAGCCTCTTTGATGGGATAATTCACACTAAATCCTCACCAAGGTTTTTTGTTGCTGTTGGAATAAATGTACTTTAACTCTTGAATTTGACATTGGTTTGCTGAGAAATTACTTTATCTGACAGGAATACATACACAGTTGTTAACCATCTTAGGATTTACAGTACATGGCATTTGCATGACAGAAGAAATAGTAAAACTAAACATTTTTAATTTTCATTTAGATGAAACATGATTATTTCATTCCTGGGGGAAATAATCTTTAAAATTCTACATCTACCCCTTTTTACAAGACTTAAGAGTTCAGTGATTCTCAGATCCAGAAAACGAACCTCAAAGTGATAGAAAAGAGGTACAATAACAAACCTCTGATCCTTTAAATAAACTCTAAATCCTAAAAAAAACCCAAATAAACTTCTACCATCACGGGTTCGGATGCCTCACATACATTCAAATTTCAATATCCATTTTTAATTTTTCTGAATCTTAACGTTACATCCTTTTTGCAAAAATGCATTTTCTAGTACATAATCCTGCGCAAATTCATCAACAGTAGTAATATGAAATACTAATAAAGGAAAACAAAATATGGTTCGAGATGCAGGTATACCACTAATGCTAATTTGTAAGAAATAATACATACAGTACCAATTCCTAATAATACACAGTTTGCTAAATAATAAGAGAATAGCTTCTCTCAATGCAATAACTTTAACCTAAACTACACAGTAGTGTTGAAATCTCCAGAGAGTAAGTACACGTTTGTTCACTGAATGCAATGTTGTTGGTTTTATCATAGAGCCTTGAGGGTTTACTATGTAAGGAAATTAAACCAAGTTCCCAACTGACCATTTTAACACAACAAACTACTGTACAGCCTGTATGCTGTTACTTCAAACATTCCTGCCATATCTCCTCTGGCACTAAACTAATAAAACCAAGCAATGTTACATGCCAGTGGCTCCTGTTTCGCAAGCACAATAAAATCAACAATATGATGGTGATCAACTATATAATTCTGTGATTTAGATTCGAACATATATACTGTATCAGATTGAGCAACTTCTCATATCTTCAAGTCTAAGATTCAGCTTATACCTCTCATGAAATAAAATCTCAACTCTCTTTTTTTCTGTCCTTTAAATAAGAGAACAGGAATAGCACAGTATTGTGAGTCAGAGACAAAAGCTGCAGATACAAAAATATAATAACTCTTAATACACGGTGGTGTACAAGCAGTGACAAATATTATTTGTACAGTTTCGCACGTCAAGATATAATTAAGTTTCCAGCAGCTTAAAAAGTAGTGAGACAGAAAGTCCCTTCATTCCTGTTGCTTGGCTTTTTGCTCAATTATTTTTTGACAAAAGCATTACCACCTTATAGCATCATACTGTATGTAAGAAGTTAATCAAAGTTGTGCCTAGTCAGTTCTTACAAAGAAGAAAATAAGGAAAACCAGGTAACTGCTGTAAGTGGTGCTGGTGGACCAGTAAGTGGCATGCTTTCTTCTTGACCAGAATTAACAAATCAATAATGTAGTATATTAATTTGTGACAATGTGCTCTTGAAGATGCCATGTTTCAGATGAAACATTAAACTGAGACGCTACCCTCTGTACCCGGTCATTAAAGAACCCATGGCACTCTTAGTAAGAATAAGAGTGATATGCCTGCTGTCCTGCATAATGTCTCATTGCTCTACCTGATCTATTCTCTGTTGGAGCTTTTGGATCACCTACTATAGTAGGGTGCTGCACTTGACAGGTTGTTGAAGTGGGTCTACTTCTATATGTCGAATTCACCTAGATTTTACTCTCTCCAGGGTAAGCTCAGGAAACACAGAACAACAGAACATTTCATAACGTGTATAGATGTGTGTCAGCAGATTTGTTCAGAGGAATATGTTAGCTTGATTGTTGTTTGGAAGTGCTGTCCACTTACAGAAATATTTCATCATGAAACAGCTGAGCCATCCCTCTTCTGCTGTAAAGTGAAAGATTAGGAGAGAGAAATGTGCGTTTGTGTTGAGACTTGATTGGAAATAAATAGGTTCAAATCTTTTTTGAAATGAGCAACATTTCATTTGTTATTGTCTAAACCACAAGGAAATGAACAGGCTATTTTATCTGTATCTATTAACAGAAGAACATGTCCTTAATTTAATATAAGAAATGCTGATTCCTTTGTTTGATGGGATAGAAAAACAAGTACAGCTGCCAACATTTTATCCCCTGACTTCCTTTTGTGCAGTGACCAGCTTTATGGTTAAACAATGGTGAAAATGCAAGTTTGCAGTGATCTATGAAGTGGTTTATCCTTTCATTCTTTCTTCATTCCCATAATAATGCAAGCCTGGCTAGCAGTATTTGACAGCCGGTGCTAATTTATATAGACAGTTAATACGTTATTATGTTGATTTGTTCCTTTTACAATTTTGCTGCATACAAGCTATTTTCTATAACCTGTGTATCGTATTGAAAATAAGTCTTTCTGTTTATAGAGCTTTACACTGTGATTAACAATAAGATATCCAATCTTTAATCAGGGGATTGATTGATAATTCATGAAATTTGAATAGACTAAAATTTGTGTCCCCTTCAAATGCAGTTTTATGAAATGATGACCCGTACTTGACATTTGTGATCAAAACTGGAAAATTTCAAAACACTCTTTTAAAGATACCAGGTTCAGACAACAGTATTAGAACCTGAATCTGGCCTGTATATTTAATTAAATAAATAATAATAATAATAATTGCTTACACTTATATAGCGCTTTTCTGGACACTCCACTCAAAGCATTTTACAGGTAATGGGGACTCCCCTCTACCACCATCAATGTGCAGCATCCACCTGGATGATGCGACGGCAGCCATAGTGCGCCACAACACTCAACACACATCAGCTATCAGTGGGGAGGAGAGCAGTGATTATTAGGAGGCCATGATTGGTAAGGGCCAATGGGAAATTTGGCCAGGACGCCGGGGTTACACCCCTACTCTTTTCGAGAAACGCTCTGGGATTTTTAATGACCACAGAGAGTCAAGACCTCGGTTTTACATCTCATCTGTAGGACGGCGCCTGTTTACAGTATAGTGTCCCCGTCACTATACTGGGGTATTAGGACCCACATAGACTGCAGGGTGAGCACCCCCTGCTGGCCCCACTAACACCTCTTCCAGCAGCAACCTTAGTTTTTCCCAGGAGGTCTCCCATCGAGGTACTGACCAGGCTCACACCTGCATACTAAATGATTTAGTATGCATTTATCATACTAAATGATTTAATTCTAGTGACAGATCTGTAGTTGAATTCGCTGTAAATTCCTCTCACTTTTCACATGCAAGCATGTCTACAATGACTAATGTGGCTACAATGTTTAAATACATGATATTACACAATTTTAGTGAAAACCTAAATTAATTAAATGTTGTTCAATACTTTCTGAAATTAAAATGCTTGCAACTTTTTAAAGCTTACTGGGCTTTATAAATCTCTCCTTAAATCTCCAGATGTAGAGTTTTATACATAATGACATGTGGCCATGTGCTAAATACTCTATACAAATCAAGAAGTAGTTGTATCTAATCTGGAACACTGATATATTGTATTTTGTACATAAGACATAAGACATGTAGGATTAAATCAGAACTATACATGATGATAATGGGATGTTGCTGACTGGAATCAAGAATTCTGTACCATACTGTGGTTGTTCCCAATTGTCCGATGGGATGCCTGCTTTCTGTTATAGCCAAGGTCCTAATCAGTCAAACGTATTTGAATTTTTTGTTTGAGGAATATTTTAAAAATTGTTTTCAGATTTCAGAATTAAAAAGCAGTGTCTAGTAAATGTTACCAACTGGACCTCTGCAGAGAGAAAGAGAAGTTTATTGTGGGAAAGTTTGATACATTGTCATTCACATCTGTCTGTTCATAAACTGATCAACAGCTAAGAGATGTTGAGATAGAAATTAGGGAGGGAATTCCTAAGAAAGAAGTAGAGAAGGAAGAAGGGACAGCAAAAAGGTGTGCATGCTAATGTTCTTCGACAAATAGCCTTGAAGTATGGTTTTTTGAGAAATGTAAGTAGCAAGTAGATCAATTAAGAGTATCAGTCAGTCCCAGTGATTAGAAGTTCAGTGGAAGATAAATCAGCACAATGTCCCACAGGACCAGGTCTGGGAACAGTTGCTCGAGCAAACAGGAAGTACTGTAGCAGGTGTGAAATCTGTGATTTGCCAGTGGCTTGTTTAATCTTTTGCCACTTTTATAATTAATAGTTGTACACAGGCAGTTCAGTTTTGCCTGTTGATATTTTAACTGATATTGTGTTATTGAAACACTAAAGTTATATTGCAGAAAAGGACAAATTTGGCAAATATAAAAATTTTCAGAAATGAGCAAAACAAAAGCATGGGGTGCAATTAAAGGTTACTTCATTCATCTATCCGTTTTCTAACCGTTTTATCCAGAACAGGGTAGCAGAAGGGCCAGATCCAATCCATCATGCAATGGGTGACAAACTGGTTACACCCTGGATGGGACACTAGTCCATCACAGGGTTACTTCATGCATTTTATTAATAGAACTAAACTTGACTTATTGGTTTCTCACTGTCTGCAGGGGAGAGCTACGTTTGTGCTTCTGAAAACTACTACAAGAAGGTGGACTACACCAAGAATGTCAACCCCAACTGGTCAGTGAACGTCAAGGCTTCAGCCAACCAGAAAGGCTTGCAGTCTCTGGCCAGTGGGAAGGTGGCCAATGAGGTGAAGGAGAGCAAGGATTTTGTGAGGCCCAAGCTGGTCACGGTGATGCGTAGTGGTGTGAAGCCGCGGAAGGCAGTGAGAGTCCTCCTTAACAAGAAGACGGCACACTCCTTCGAGCAAGTCCTCACAGACATCACAGAAGCCATCAAGCTGGAGAGTGGGGTGGTCAAGAGAATTTACACACTCGATGGCAAACAGGTATGTTCTATTGCAAATGAATGGAATGAATAGGTTGTATTTCCGAGATGACTTAGAAAGAAAGCAGAACACTTACTATACATTAAAACTTATTAGGCTACTTCTCATAGAATTTAAATGTTTCACGTAGTTGTAGAAAATGTCTATAAATATGTTATAAGCAATGTATTACATACTGTATATTCCATAGGTCTACAATTTCACATTATATATTTCTTTGATTTTAGAGTGCCTGCTCGAGACACCAACATACAGTAGGTTCTTTAAAATAACACCTGAGCAAGGGGATAAAACATCATTTATGCTTTATCAAAAATTGTAATGTTGCTTTTTAAACTTACTTTGTATTATCAGCATGTATTCACTTGTAACTGGTTGATGTTTTCATCAGGTAAATTATGTGATTTTCTTTAAACTCCAATGGTGAAGAACATCCAAACCACATTTGTTAAGCTATACAATTTAGATGGTCAAATGCTGGAAGGCAGTGATTACTGAAGCTGTCTGCACAAAATGTCACAAAAGTTCAATCTACATAACAAAAATGAGACCTTTATTATTTCCTTTCACAAATACATGCAAGACTGTATGTAGGCTAGCATAATGAATATGGTTTTGATTTGTAAAAATGAAGAGATAAACTGTATAATACATATTCTTGGTTTCATAGTTATTTTAGGGACCTTTGAGGAAGTAAAGTTACCCTGGAACTGATATGGAAATGTGTATGGAAATTAGAATGGAAATTTGCTTCAGCTAAGAGAAGATCAAGGGCATGTACAGTTCAAGATTTATAGAAACATTCTTAACTTAATTATTAACAAAACAATCTGAACTGTTTTAATGCTTCCTTCATACTTATTAATTGTCAAAAAGGTCAGACTACTGTCTCATTAATTAATTTCTAAAGGGAACAAGTTACCTTTAAAATTTAGCATGTCAGGAAAAAAAAAACATTTCCTGTTTGAGAGCAATAGTTATTACAAAGGCAGTGCAGTCTACATAATCTTTGAATCTTTGAAGACAAAGTGTCAACCATAGATATTAAGTGTTTTCTCAAAGGACAAGAGCTTCTCCCGAGAGTTAGTAGATGGCAGAGACAAGTCATTCAAGGTACAACACATCTGCAAATGACCATTCTGTTGACATTAGAAAATTATTAACAAACCAAAACACCATGCAACAGTTAGAGAGTTGTAATGGGACATGGTTACAGGTGAGGTTTAGGGATTAGGGATCGACTACAGCAACACCATCCCAGTGAAATGGTGGTCTCTGTCTCTTTAGAGGCAGAATAATGAAGTACTGTAAATGTCATTGAGTGAAATGCTAACCAGGAATTCATACAACAAGTGATTTCTGTACAATTTGATAATTATTCACCACCCCCCAGACAATACAATGCATGTACAGCATGTGCATGGGAAGGAGGGCTGGGTCATGATTTTGATGTCCAGAGATCGACGAGTGGAGAGGGATCATCTTTCACAGGATAAGCCTGTGAAAGTGCTAATTGGTATACTGTATATTTGTTATATTTTTAGATCATATGTTATGTTTTTGTTTGCTTCCTAGCTACAACATATTGAATAAAGATGGTGATGCCAAAAAGCAAACATCCAACCTATTATTAAACAGTCTGGGGGTAACATAGAACACTTACTGTAGATTATCCATTTTAACATGTTTAAAATCCAGTTTATTTCTATCTTTGCTGGTGATTTAGAAGTTTCAGTTGTTTTTGGTATGAGCATACGTGAAGCTTTATAGAAACGTTTGATTGCATCTTATGTTCTTGTTAGTTATTTTGAGACATCTTTAGAGGGCTGTTTGTTTTTCTGGTCTGACTGGGCTCCCAGAAATACTGTAACTATACTGTTGTAGCTAGAAGGGAGGAAGTGTTTTCCATTGGTGTGATGTTGTGATTATTTTATTTTCACGTTATGATAATGAACAGCATTATCAATTGACTAGCATTATAGAATTAATTATACTGCATCATGGTTATTTTGGGTACATGGGTACTCTCCTGTTACATATTTAAAAGAACAGAGAACCTTTTTATTTCAAACAATAGGCTGTCGTGTGATTTACATGGATCATGTGAACACAAATCTACTTGTTTAATTTTATCCAAGATTCTGCAATTTCCCTCATGGGATCAATAAAGTATCTATCTATCTCATAGTGTTGCAAATGTCCTAGATTAACTTGGCAGAGCCTTAAACTTGATTTACTTCTTCCGTTTATGTTATATTTTATCTTTACCTGTCTGTTATTTAGAAAGTCTGACTTTTAATTGTTTTCAGATTCTGACTGTAAGCAGAATTTATGACAGTGATGAATATAAAATACTGTATATTATACTGAGGGCAGTCAATCTATATTCTTTAAATGTTTGCAGAAACATTTAGGTGTCTGCCTGTACAGTACATGTTTTTTTTTAATAGAAAATTCAGGTCCACTTTACAGGACAACTTTACAGAACTGTATAATTTTTACAGCAAATTACATGCAGAAGTAAACAAGATCTCTATTTCAAAATGCCATATGAGGTTGGCACTACTTTAACAATTATACCGTTGTACACAGGGTAATCACAGATTACAGTCTGTGTCTTTCAGCTGTAATTCATTATTTGCAATTTTAAGTGCTTTTTAGTAATCTAAAGTCAGTGTTGGAGGGCATTCATGTACTTGTGTCACATACGTCTTTTACAATGTTCACTGTATTTTCATAATACTTAAGTTTTAATATAAGGCAATCTTTGTGCATAAAGTATTTCCAGCAAGTACACATGTTCTCTTAATTGTTTTACTTTTAGTGAGAGAACAGTATTTCAGTTTGGTAGTAGTGATAGTTTGTCCCTGGCGTGAATCTGTTCTGCCTGATGATACTAGTGGGTGGTTTTAATGTTATTTCCTACAAATAAAGTACTGTACTGTATTATTTTAGCAAAATAAGTATTGTAATAATTCCATGCATATACAGTACAGTAGGTAAAATAAAACGTAGTGCATTTCTATGTATACTAATTATTTTTAATAGAAGTAGATTTTATTTGGCTTTATGAGGGCACACTATAAACTGGATGATATTTTGCTTATTAGTTTTGGTTCCTGAACTGGGAATAGGATCCATGACAGAGCTGTCATTTGTCATTTCCTGACTGCTTTCTCATGAGTCTCATGATTCCATAGGTAAATATCCCATGTTGACAATCCCCACTCATGGACCTCCTGTCAGTTAATGTGCAGAGGGTTCCCTTTCTATTTCAGAGCCTTTCGCATTCTGAAGCAAAATCTTTTCATGCAACACTGGCTTACAAAGGTGACCTACTGGGATTACAACAGAGGAAGCTTGTAATAATCAAACGTGCTACAGCTACATTGCAGATTTAGCAGGACCTGAAACAATGTTATAGACCACCTTTTTCTACTATTTATGGTTAATATTTCAGTATTTCTTCATGATTTTATTTGACCAGATACCTTTATTTTAAATGTGAAAAATAGAACAGACCAGATCTAATATTAGAGACAATCAACTGTGTCTGGCTCTTACCGGTACATGCAGGCTTTGGTGTGCTAAAATAAACTTGCCAAGATAAGGAGAGTAGCTTGAAAAAAACAATTATATATGTTGTACACAAGGGTCAAATGTTCAAGCCAGGGACAGACTGAGACACATTATTTTACCAGTCTTCCTTGTTCCTGAAATGGTTGGTGTGTTTGGAGGTTGAATTGGCTTCAAAGCATCAGAAGATGAAGAGGTGGGAGAAGCTATAAAAGCTGAGCTGATACTAGTCATTATAAACTCACTTGAACTGAAACTCTTTTGACACACAAGTCCACCAGGATTCGGACTAGGATCTCTGAATCAAAACTGTTGTACAACATTAAAATTGAAGTACAGAAAAATGTTTCTCAGAGTGCTGTACATATTAGTGTATGTAAGATATCATCTGGGCAAAGGAAATAGTATTTTTTTTATCATGGCTTCATCCAAAAATGAGATTTGCTGGTTTTAGCTGCAGGTACAGTAAAATGCTAACCTGCCTATCTTTGATATTCAAAAGGTCAATGCAATAAGAAGGATAAAAGATGCAGAAAATAACTCCAGTGTTTGATCTTAGCTGTGGCTATGTTTTGTGGTTGCTATAGTGATTATATTTACAGTACACTGTGTTTTGAATGGCTTTGAGGGCATTGTTGAATGGTCTTGAATTAGATATTTCTCATTCTTCTCACTGCTCAAAACGATGTATTTATAATTTACATTGTATTAGGACCTTTTTTAATGCCTCCTTTTACATCACCATCCTTATTACAGAATATTTTATAACTGAAGCAATGGAAGCTTGAGGGGTGTGGACTTATTCAACCTCCACACAAAACAGCTCCTACTGCCTTATTATTTTTATTTGGGCCACAAACACAAAATCACAGTATATTTATAACAATAATGTAAACTGGCAACTGGTGAAAAGTATAAGAGCTGATGAAATGATTCTAGTCTTTCTTTTGGCTTAGGAATTTTCACATTTATTTATATTGTTTGTGTGTACGCTCCCAAGCACTGCAATGGAAAATATGTAATACTGCCACACCTGTAGGGTTCTAGATGATCTGAGACACCTGTTAATAGAGTCAGTGGGCTTGGGGAGCTTACAATAAAGAATATGAGGTTTTGTCCTCAAGTGGAATGTGTTTGACAGATGTGTATACTTCATTCCCTGGGAAAGCTTGACCAGCCCAGACAGTAAGAAACGTTAGTGGGTTATGTGATGAGCTTCCTTGAATGGGCCAGACAGGTCAGTCATCTGGAAACTGCGAAGTTTGCTGAGGGTTACGCAATATGCCATTTTATCGGATAGTGTGGAAAAATGGCATTACACTCTTGATGAATATTAACAAACATTTGATTGGGTTTTGTACTGCTTTATTTGTTTTCAACTTTGGCTTCCAGAATTGATTCTTTTAGATTTTAGCAAGCCCCTT